AAAGAGCCATTTTACGCGCAAACAAACAGCCCCCCCCCCCCTCGTCAGTCCCTCCCCCCCCTCCGTGCACCTCAGAGGTCAGGGCGGCTCAGATGGCTCAGCGGCCTATTCATATCCCCCCCCTCGTAAATAAACGGCATTGTTCCGGCCTCCGTCACTCACCGACCCTGAAGCCCGGTCCGATCAGCGTGTCGGCGCCCTGCCCGTTCTCCGCGATCAGCGTGGTGTTGCTGCCCTGCTCGCACCTATCCTGGCACTGCCCCTTCAGGCAGATCCGCTTGCAGATGAGGGGAGCGATGACCACCTTGAAGCGCTCCCGGGCGGAGGAGCGCTCCGCGCACCACACCAGCCGGTGGACGCTCAGCCAGATGACCAGCAGATGGGAGATCAGAGAGGGCATCCTGGCATCCTTTCACTGCCCTCCGCAGAGATCCGAGGACATGGAATCCCACGCCGGGGGCTTCAGCTCCGGCTCGAAGGCGCCTGCTTTGTTAACCGAGAGAAAACTTTGACGTCTCATAAAAAAAAAAAAAGAAAGAAAGCAGATAATAAATAAATAAATCGGCGTCCACCCTCAGCTTTTCTTCTTTTTTTTTTTTTTTCTCCTGCGAGAAAAGTTGAATCAGTTCGTTCGCGTGGCCCAGAGATCCGTCTGCGTAAGCGCCACGTTTGGCATCTTTGGAAGTCCGTCCCAGTCCTCGCCTTAGTCGCTCTTCTCTTCCTTCTTCTCGCCTGTTGCTTCGGAGAGCCGGAGAGAGCGGTGCGTATGCGGGTTTGGGAGAGAAAGGAGGGGAGGAGAGGAGAGAAAGGGGTGTGAGCCAACCCACTCCAAAGAAACCTGGCCGCGCGCCAGCCGGGCGCGCAGGAGCAAAGCTGAGAGTGGTTTCCTTGTTGGTTATTCCTCCCTGAGCCCCCCCCCCACCCCACCTCCACCCCTTCCCCTCCTCCTCAGACCCCACTCTGCAAATCACAGCTGCACAGCTGTGCGTGTCACTCTGACACACACTAACGCTGTCACGGCCCGTAATGGATGACTTGATCCACTTTTATGTCTGACCGTTGAGATTCCTGACTGTCAAAATGTATGAGAGAGTGTCCCATGTGGAGCTACAGAACACACAGGTATGAAGCCTCCTGTGTGTGGGGCTGGGCCCTACAGCACCTGGACTAGTGTAGGCTTTCTCTCTTTTTATATAAAAAAGGTGTTTTGTCATTTGCTGTTTAGTACAAAGGTCAAGATTTGAATTTAAATCTACAAAAATGAGTAATAAATGAGTCTGGCAGAAAGGTAGACGCAATGCTGAGGCCTCTGCACAGCATGCAGGGCCCCTGCTACAGACAGGTGGAAAAGATGCTTTTTAAACGTTTTTTCTAACGTGCATGTGTTGTTGCATCTCTTCACTTTTGTGTAGACTTTTGCTGTACTTTCTTTTTTCTTGTCGAGGCCAGTTCCTGTCAGTTGTCCGTCATTACTACGTTTAGGTGTGTTCTTGTTCTTCTGTGTAGACGCTTTATTCTTTAACGCTGGTCTCCAGTGTTCTGCTCGCTTAGTGTAAAATTTCCAAACACGATGTGTCCCTATTTGTAGGTGTTTTCTCCCTCTTGGGGGTCATTTAGCATTTTTTCCGAAGTCTTTTTATGCGTCTTGGAAGTAGCTGAGTCCGGTTTTCATCTCATGTTCAGCATTTAGCCTGCTGTTGCTGTACCTAGTTGTGGTTCTTTGCTTTTCATGTCTCCGTAGACATGCATAACTGTGTTATATTGTGTTGTAATTCTTTTGGTCACTTTATTAAGTCGATTTTGCTGAAAAGACCCCCCCCCCCTCCTCTTATTTACCCCGTCCGGCGTTGTGGGGGATGTAATCTGTCACCTCTGACTGCCGCTTTGAGGGAGAGCTCGGCCCAGACATTTCACCAGTCTAGAATGTGGACGCTCACATGCTCAGATGGGGGGGATGGGGGGGGGGGGCTTGGAAAAAGAGGCGCAGTGGAGACATGAAATAACCGCCTTGGCACGATGCGGCGCTGCCAGCCCCTGCAACCCTATCCCGTGAGACCGCATAACGCCACACGCCCTGCCGGCCCGCGGCTCAGAAGGGGAAGGCGACACCTCAGCGTCTGCGGGGCGTCTGCGGGGCGTCTGCGGGGGGCGTCTGCGGGGCGTCTGCGATATGTCTGCAGGGCGTCTGCATGGCGTCTACGGGGCGTCTGCGAAATGTCTGCAGGGCGTCTGCGGTGCGTCTGCGATATGTCTGCACGGCGTCTGCATGGCGTCTGCATGGCGTCTGCGGGGCGTCTGCGGGGCGCTTGCGGGGCATCTCTGGGGCGTCTGCGGGGCGTCTGCAGGGCGTCTGCGGGGCGTCTGCGATATGTCTGCGGGGCATCTGCAGGCATCTGCATGGCATCTGCGGGGCGTCTGCAGGGCGTCTGCATGGTGTCTGCGGGGCGCTTGCGGGGTGTCTGCAGGGCGTCTGTAGGGCCTCATCCCGCTCAGCTGCGTCACCAGCATCGGAAAAGCCAGCATTCCGATCAGCCACATGGAAGTATGAGGGGGGAAAAAAGCGACGGTGGGGGTGGGGGCCCTCACGTGGGGCGAAGGGGGTGAAAGTGAAAGAAGAACAAAGAGAAAAGGACAGAATGCGGAGTTGAGTCACTTCCTCTGCGCGGAGTCGGCGTGTTTACTTTCCGTCGGCGAGGAAATGACTGCATGGGCCTGCGGAGGGTTCGCAGGCCGCTCTCACATTTCTCTGGCCGAGCCGCTCGCCATCACAGCGTCCTCCGCTGCCAAGACACACACACACAGACACACACACACACAACTGCAAACCCATTGTAGGTCATACAAAAGTCAGTGCGGAGTATTTGTTGGTCCACGGTGATCACTTCCTTGCTGAAAAGCCCGAGCTTCATCTGAGCCAAAGCAACACTCCGTAATGAGAGAAGACAGAAAAATGGCCAGCACATCCCCAAAAAAGTTCCAAGGAGGCAGAGAAGAGATAGTAGCATGCATGATCACTGTTCTACTACATTCCTGTTCATCCTTGCAAGTTGATTTACTGAGTTTACCTTTCTTGATTTCTTTATTTTGAATGTCAGAATAGAGCTGGCACCTCATCTAGAAAAACCAAGAAAAAAACAAAACACAAAGAGAGGAAGTGTAAACGATGGCCTTTAATATTGTAACATCTACAGTAGGGTTAACAGGATGAGTGTGATTATATTCAGAACACAGAAGCTTTAAAAAAGTTGTTCAATTCACATTTGACATAAACTTCCTAAAGAGCAATGGCATCTTCTGTTTGAAACCTTCATGCAGAGGTCCCCAGATGTGGAGTAAAAAAAAAAAACGACAGAAAAAAGAAGATATAATAAATACGATTATCTGGGGGGGGGAAAGTACTTTGGCAAACTGTTTTCAGGATATACACAGTGATAGAAGTTCATCGCCACTTTTAGAAGCCTGTAAATGTAATTATACAGTAATCCTTAGATGGAGTTATCACACGTTTAAAGAAACAGCCGACGGTTTGAGAAGGGTAGTGCCCTGCACATCTGGGCATTAGCCAAAAGCTCAGGTGTTTGAACTCATTATGGCAAAACACACTCCCGCCCTTACACATAATAACCCCCTTTAAATAGAAGAGCTAAAACTACATTCTTATGTACAGGAATGAGACGGGCTCAGAAGACCTGGTGTACACATGCAAGCACCAACGTCTGCCAGCTCGTAACTACACCCCAAAAAAAACCAATGGAGAGCTAAAATATGGTCCAGTACGGATGCGACTGGAGCAGGTGAGATGGCTCCGCTCCAACACATGCTGGTGCCGGCTAAGCTGTTGTTGTTTGGGCGCACTAACGCATGCGGGCCGGTATATTTTGGAAGCAGGATGAATGGTTCCAGATAACAGCTCTACAGCGCTCCTGCCGTGTGACTGACGGGGGCTCGGCGAGCGAGAGGGGGAGGTAGCGGCGGGAGGTCAAACGGGCTCACGCACATCGACACACACACACACACACACCGCAGCACGGACGTGGCCGATGCTTTAGTTTCAGGTGAGGTTTAATAAGTGCTTCGTCCGGGTTTTCACAGGTAGAAGTTAGATGCTGGAAGCTGGAGACAGCAGCGGTGTTGATATCAGCATTTCCTTGATATCGGGCAAAAAAAAAAAAGGCAAATATGGCACAAAAAAATGAGCGGGTTCATAAGCCTCATGACAAAAAATGAGAGAAATACAGTAATAACTTTTAAGAACCCAATATGTCCCGAAAACCTGTTTGAGAAGCCGCTTCCATCCAATAAAGGCTGAATGAACACATCTGGTCCCCCCTACTGTCAGGAACAAAAATGTGGCGCTCAGTACAGAATATGTGTGTGCAACCTTCACTGGATAAAACATTACATTGTTTTATTATGTGAAATAAAAAGAACAATGTGCAGTTTGGAAGTAAAGCCAAACCCAAAGCCTCTTTATCTCCCAGCTATTTCTGTCTTAAAGAAAGAAAAAGGAGCACAACCCTCCAGTTTTGGGCTGGTCCAACTAACCCTTTTCCCTGTGGGGTCTCGATTTACAGGTTTTTAATGAACAACACTGTTACATTTCACACTCTTCTTTCTTTTCTGTGAGATTCTGTTTCTGTACATATAAAAAATATAAATAGGCATGATTTGATGCTAGAAGACAAGACAGTGATGAATGAGTTGGCTGCCTGATGCCACACAGGAAGCGGCGTGGCGGATATCTGTCAGGAAACTGATGGACAGAAACAGAAGTCTAAAACAAACCTTTTGAAGACCATCAAAAAGGTACCAGCTGAACAACAGCTGCCCTTTGAGAGTTCCAGAATTTTTTTATCCCCTGTCCACCATAGCCACTGATTCTGAAACCCTGTTTTTAGGAACATTTAGACCTAAACTTGCGCTGTTACGGGACGAGGAGTGGATAGATTGAGAAGCCGTCAGAGGTTGGGGTTCTGAATAAACTGGGGTTAAGAACAGCTCTACACACAGTTTACAACCGAGCTGTCCTCCTCCTCCGGCCCCCACTCCCCGAACCTCATCTGAGGAGAGGGCGCGGCGGGGTGCAGGTTGTTGATGTCGTCCAGTGCGTCCGGGTCGGTCTCTTCGCTGGGGCCGATGGCCATGTGGCCGGCCTCCTCGCGGTGGGTGCGGACGTGCTTGCGCAGCGCGGCGGGCTCTTTGAAGGTGCGGTTGCAGAAGGGGCAGCAGCAGGGCCTCTCCCCGGTGTGGATGAGCTGGTGGTGCTTGAGGTGCTGCAGGCGGCTCAGCCGCTTGCCGCAGATGGCGCACACGTAGGGCTTCTCGCCCGTGTGCGTGCGCCGGTGCTTGCGCAGGCCGTCCAGGTGGCGGAAGCAGTTCCCGCACTCGGAGCAGGAGTAGGGCTTCTCGCCGGTGTGGATGCGCAGGTGCGTTTTGAGCGCCCCGGACTCCCGGAAGCGCCGGCCACACACCCCGCACGGGTAGGGCTTCTCCCCCGTGTGGATGCGGATGTGCTTCTTCAGGCTGGAGATCAGCCGGAAGGTCTTTCCGCACTCCAGGCAGTGGTGCGGGCGGTCGGCGGAGGGCTCGGCCGCCGTGTCGGGGACGGAGGGCCCCGCAGAGTCGTCCGCTCTGCCTGGCGAGACCGTGCCCCCTCGGCCTGCTCCCGGAGTCCTGGCCAAAGCTTTCTGGGCCTCTAGTGCACCCTGCTGCAGGCCTCCAGCGCAGTCCCGCACAGCTCTCTGGTGACGCAGCGGCTGAGAGAAGGAACGCTGGGAGCCTCCTTCCCCTCCACACTGTCCAAAACCAATGTCCGCTACATTATGGGATGACCCGTCACCATCCCCGACTTGACCGTCGTTCCGTATCCTCGGTTCCTTCCGGCTGGCCGGACCAGCGCCTATACCCTGTCCCTGCTCCTCTTTAATTTCAAATCTGGGAGCTCCACCTGGTCCTGGGGGTTGCCGGTCATCTAAAGACCAAATAAAACAGAGAGAGTTCATTTATGACGCTGAAGCAGAAGTTATTGAGACATTAACATGCATACTTTCAGAGTTTTGAAAATATTACCTGGTCTGCTGGAATCGGGGCACATATGAGGTGTACTGGACGCAAAGGAGTCCAGCGCGTGGTTGGTCACAGAGCCATCGGGCTGGATTGAAAGCTGGCACATTTTATAGTCATCTCTTGGCTCAAATCCGTGAAGCGATTCCTCCACAGAGCCCCCCAGCCCCAAGTCCACCCCCGAGCCATTCACATTCCTGCCGTTCTGGTGATCCCGGTCCAAGCCCGGAGTCATGGAGGCCATGGAGGTCAGCGATGGGGCGAACACGGACTGGCTGACGGCCTGGGGGCCGGTGTAGGACACCTGGAGCTGGTCTATGAGCTTTTGGGCGCTGCACAGACACTCCTGCAGAGTCTTCAGCTCCCTCTCGGACACCTCCAGCCGCACCTTGAGCCTCTCGTTCTCCTGCTCCTTATTCAGCAGCTCCTGCTGGGTCTCGTTGAGCACCAGCACCACTTCGCCCAGCAGGGTGTCCACGGCGGCGGACATGGCGGTCTGGATGGTCGGCGCCAGGCGAGACTTGAGCGACGTCACCGTCACGCCGCCCTGCGAGCCTCCGTATCCGCCTTTGTCCGCTTTGCGCTCGTAGCAGGACTCCATCCTGTCAGGAATGTTAATGATGCTCTGCTTACGGTTTCCGCTGTTTGAAGCAGAGGAGTCCATACTAGCTGCGTAGCCACCTCGCCTGGAAGTCATTATTTAAGATGTAGTTAGCCAACTGCGGTACAGTTAGCTAACGTTTTCCCCCGCAATGCGAGTATTTATTGTGCTTTTAGAGATTGTCTCCAGTATATAGGGGAACTGCAAACTACCCGGGGTTTGTTTCTGTATTGTGTGCTAAAGAAAAGTGTCGCATTCACTGTGTAACCGACTCTGGTGATAAAAACATAGTAGAAACTGGGAGAAGCGTCTGTCTGTTGGGCCTGGCTCCGCTCGCCAACATTAGCCACTTAAACACAGGCAACGCCGCTCCGTTAAGGCCGTGTTCCTCCTAACACGGTGGCACTGCAGGAGGAAGGAGTTGACGGCCTTGCCCTGCATTAACTACGGCTCCAATATTTAGTCTTTGCTAACACGACCCAACACTGCCACTCACCCATTTCCAACCGCCTTTGCAGGGCTGCACTGTATACGCAGAGGCCCGTCGCGTCGAAATGACGTCAAAGACAGGCTGCTGTGATTCATTATGCCCTTTGTAAAGACTTGAAGGCACACTCAGTGAACTGTAGAAATGAAGCGCCTTTCTCCTTTGGGCTTACTACTATCCTCTCAGTAGAGATCGTTGGTATTCTAACCATATTGCATTTGAGCGCCATCTTCTGTTAACTTTGTGTTTAACTTTAATGTTGGCTTTATTATTAACATTCACTTACTCCCCCCCCCTTATAAAGGTCACTTTTTATTTCCATTTTGAAATCCGCCTCTACCATGCCTTCAATAGAATTGTACTGTTGCTATTGCCTTACTTGTTCGTACTTACTTTGTTTAAATAACGTTCATTGGAAAAAAATTAAAAACTTTAATGTTGGCTAAACGTGAACAAATCTATTAAAGAGTTAAAGACCTGGACAATAGAAAAGGGACAAAGAAAGTGAATCTTTAGAACATGATACATTAGAATTATGTTGCTGAGTGCAAAAAAAAAATCTTCCCCGATTTGAATGCCCATTTTAAGCAATTTATTGAAGTAAACTAATAGGTTACAGGTGTTTTATATTAAAACATTTACCAAATGACCTGAATTGTACAGTTATACCAAATGCAAAGGTGATACATGTATTAAGTACATAACATTAATGATTGTCATGTGTGTTGGCAGTTTTGCACACATTTAGAGAACAAACATCTGTTTAACAGACATGTTTTAGGGACTAGTCATTCCTATGAGACCGAAAACTATTTCCTGTGAAATGTCTGAAAACATTTAGTGAAAACCTTTCTAAAGCTTGTACCTAGTAAAGTAATGAAAGCATTCTAAACCAAAACCATGAAAACACATATTTGTACTGCATACTGACTTCGGATGTATTTCAAATCCAAAGCTTAAACATCACCTTAACTAATTTGTTCATTCTCAGGCAGAGTACAGCACATTATGAGTGCTTCTTTGAGCTGACCTTGTAGTTTCCTGTCTCTTATTAACAAATCTGTTTGCCGGAAGTGTTGCTTATAAAGCCATTGCTAAGTCTAAGCAGCATCCCGGTTTCTGTCTTGAAAGTCTAACGTACGGGAGAAGATAGCGTTAAGTGTTCTACAGCACATTGGCAGCCATTTGGGGAGAAAAAATATCCCTAAAATGAGGCTTTTAGGGTTTACTGTCTGCACCAGGCATTGACCTCTTTATTGTGCAGATTCGTAAGAAAAATATTTGTTTTAAAACACGTTCAGTTCACTTTTACATTATCCAGCCGACTTTTCTTAAAATGCTAAATTTCATAGCCTGTTTTAGGTTAGGACACTGGCCAAATAAGAAAATAAATAAAGAATGGTAGTTTTCAGATGACACACCCTTTGTCAGTGCAATACATCATGGAACCTTGTTACAATTACCCACACCCATTTCAACTGAAAGACAGAAAACAAATATTCCATTTGCACTGCACGTTTATTTGTTTTTTTCCTTTTGGGAGACCATGTCCAGCTTTCCAGAAAAAACTAAATGAATTTGTCTGTAATTTAACATCAGAATAGCTAATTACAGAAACAAAACACAGAGCACGCCCCTAGGGTTAAGCTCAATGTTGTTTTCTTTCATCATTTTATGACCCATTGGCCACAAAAATGGCCGAGTCACAGGGTCCAGAGCACTTTCTGCCCAACTGAACTCTCATCATTATGAAGGATATGTGCCCCTGAATTCTGCTTGTTACTAAAAGGAAAAACATGGGGTATCTTTAGAAGTAAGTGTTTTTTTTATTTATTTCATGGGCTGCATTTGCCCAATCCATGGCGTCAGTGAGCCCATCTGGCCCATCAATTTACAATTTATTCCCTTAAAACCAGAAAAAAAACCCATTATACTTATGCAAGACCATGTGAGCGGAGAAAATAAGCGGCATTATTCTGACAAGCATTTGGCATGACTGCAGATTATGTCACAAGTCAGACATGCCAAGCCTCTGAAGATCCCCCAGTTTTGCCATAAAGGGGCTTTGTAGAAACTATTCGGACAGCTGCCTTTCATAACTAAAGACATTTAGTCCTCATGGAATAATTTCTTACGAAGTAAGCAGTTCCAACATCCCAGTTCTTCGCAGGGAGGTCTAACAAAGACTGTGCGCTATGCAACAAACCATCTAGCAGTGAAAAATTACTCAAATAAGTCTCAGATCCATATAAAAACATCATCATCCCTTTGCTGGGTGCCTATCTCAGCTGTCTCTGGAAGAGAGGTGGGACACATTCCAGACAGGCTGCCAGTCCATCACAGGGCTGCAAACATTATTTGTAAATAAACGTCTGTCTCTGAATAGTCACTTCATCTGTGTTCCCAATGTAACAAAGATTTGTCTTCCTCTCAGTGTTTCATGTTTCTTTTTTTGTAAATTCATGGTGAATCTATGTCTGACTCACTGCAAAAGCTAAAGCAAGCAGGAATTAAATGGTTGTGGAAAATGCCAATGGAGCCCGTCCTTAAAGGTATTACATGCAAACACAATAGCCCTCATGAACTCAATCCGCATTACACAATATCTAAACATGCCCACATGCATCCTTGAGCCAAATTTGGGCTTTTTTCTACAATCACCCATATCTCCTGCTTTGTGTAGACATACATTTACTCACCCACAGTGAGCCACTTTTACAGGAAAATAAAGAAGTCACGAACACATCTCAGGGTTACGCAAGAGAAAACAGAAACAAATGTTTGTGGTGCCATACTTAAAAATGAAGTGGTTGCTGCTGAGTTATATGGAAAGCAAAACATGAGTACACTCATTCTTTGCTCAGTTAAATTGTATGGTTTGGAGCATAGCGTTTAAAAAAAAATCTCAACCAGATCCAAATGAATATATAAAAAAACCAAAAGAAAACAGACAAAATACATCATATTGATTATATTGTTTAGATTTGGACAAACACTAAGCCAAAATGCAGAATGATTTACAGTTTCCAGAGAAATGATGAGGATAAGGGAAGCGGGGTGCTGCTGATAAGACATACTGAATTAATTAACCCTCATGAATAGATGTCAGCACCTAAAAAACAAAACAAAAAACAAAAACAAAAAAAAACTAGGTTAGTCAGTTCAGTTTGTTCCGTGTTAATAATATGCCAACAAGAAAAGCTATAAACAATGATCTTAGAGGGTATTTGTTGCTGCTTATAAATCTGGGGAAGCTTGGCAGGAAATATCAAAACAATTTAAACCACATAATTTTACTTTGAAAACATTTATTAACATTCAAAACAGTTGAAAAAAACCCAGCACAGCATATCAGCACAAACAGCTCATAAGAGATGTGAGGGAACGGTGATGGAGGGAGGATGATCTCCCTTCATTATAAACTGCACACCTCCTCAGTCTGTCTCCTGACCCGTAGTGGCGTTGGTGGAAATAGAGTCAAAACACAGGGCAGAATCGACAACAGCATTGGAAAAAGGAACAGAATCCGTTATTGCAATCGTCCAGTTAAACTCCAGACAGCTCATATATTTGAAATATCATTGCATTGCACATTACCAAATGACAGCAATGTCATGACGATCCTATACACACTGAAGCAAAAAGGACTGTCCCAAAATTTCTCCAATAATGATGTCAGAAAGTAAAATCTTAAAGGAAACGATTGCTTCATGTTATTTCTGCTAAGGGTGGTTCTACAAACGCCTGAATCATAGGATACACTTTTTTCCACATACTGAATTTTGGCCTACTTAGAATAAAGAAAAATATGTGAACATACTATTTGCATGCTTTAGCAGACACATTCAGTCAGTGATTTGAGCAAGTTAGAGTGTCCGTTTCATCAAGGAAAGATTTGGTGGATAGCCTTTCACCTAAATGATACAAGGCCCTGATACATAGAAACCTATTCCCTTCCAGTCACTCCAAAAAAGGACAGCAAGTGCTCATTAACAAGTGAGACACGCTCTGAATTATCAGCTCATTTTGAAAGTATCTAACAAGAATTCATGCGGTTCACCTCCTCGGAATTGAATAGCGATGATCTAACCAAAGGCAGACTGCGGTAATATACCAGAAACAGCAGGCACAATCACTCAGTCACAGTCACATTGCCCAAGTATTTAGGAAGGAGGGAGGTGGAGCTGGAGCAGGGAGGTCGGGAACGAGGGGGGGTTGTGGGAGGGCAGAAAGGAGGAGGTGATCATTGGACAGGAGGGAAATGTATAAAGAGGATAGAAAGAAGCGAGAAAGAAAGCAAAGACCAGGGAAAGGGAGCTGACTCACATTCTGATAAAGTCCAGAAACTAAAGCAGCAGGTAAGTTCATGCTTTGAATATTTCACACAGCTGCAGTATTTGAGCAAGTGAGGGGAGTTGAGCTGGTGAAAACAAAGAATGCCAAGTAAATTGGAATTCGAGAGGGCTCCTGCTTAGCTTTCAATGACCGTAAACACACTCTCTTCTGGGGAGACTTTTTTTAAATGGACTTTATTGTAATTTCGTTCCCATTTCGTTCGCTTGTGGATCTTATGTGTGGATCTTTATCTGAAGCACACAGGCATGCTCTCTGTAACCAGATCCAGCTGACCAGGCAGAGCTCCGTCTTGGGTGTGTAGACATTTGGACCTGTTGCACAATACTGCCCGGAATGCTGATTAAGACTGAATCTCAAATCTCAACAAATGAGGATTATGCCATGCACCTCTGTAAACAGGACTGTAAATCATTAACCAAAGCCACAGGGGAAGCGACGTCAAATGATTAACAGTCCGTATTTTGTCATGTGCTGACACTGAGGCCGTGCAGTCTCGTTCTGAGAAAAGGTTTCTGCCTCCAAGTTCAGGGGTTTGTTTTCAATTAAAACAAAACCAACCAATATGTTGATTTGATTCAATTACGCAGCCTTTTTGCTGCCACATCGTTTCTGGAATAAGCAGTTAGTGGAGGATTAACAGTACACTCTGTCCTCTTACAGACTCTGGACAAAAACAGCCTTTACTAAATGCCCAGACAGCTGTATTCTCAAGAGGCGGTTTTACTTGGGGGGAAAAAGAAAAACTACTGATGTGTCACCTAACTGTGGAATTTCATTTTTCTGACCTCCAGCACGACATCTGCCATGAGGAATCTTCCTTTTCCCCTCGCGCTCATATGCCTGGTTTCCATCAGGGGTCATTGTCCACTGCCCACAACATCCGGCCTCGCATGGATGTATCCCGACGGCCACGAGCTTTTCTCGGATGACGATTATGACTATGAGAAAGCAGTCACTACTTCCACGGGCAGCTCGCAGCGCTGCGACTACCACCCCTGTCGGGAGAGTCAGACACCCTGTGCAGACCTGGCCGAGATCTCTCACTGCTTGTGTCCGGGGTTCACCTTACACAACGAGGCTCCGCGGGCCCCCGACCTCAAATCCGTGTCCTGGAACGGGTCAGACGTCGTGGCCAAGTGGTGCGAACCACACTCTTACGTCTCGTTCTACATAGTGACCGTGGGAGGGGAGGACAGGCAGACCTTCACCAGGGATCAGAGGAATGGCGGAGTTGGCGAGATAGACCACATCTCCCAAGTTTGTGTGGTCGCCGTGAACGACGCGGGAAAAAGTGACCCGTCGTGTTTGATGTACAAGCCGGCGGATAAACGGCCTCTGACGGCGGGGCTCATCGGGGGGGCCCTGGGCTTCCTGCTGCTCCTCGTACTGGCCCTCACAGTCTGGAGATGCAGGAGGCAAAGGAAGCAGGACTCCGGCATCTCTATGAAGAACAGAACAGAGACAGAGTGAAAAGGAAAAGATGCTCAATGAGATAAGACTGTGGGTCATTAGAGGCTTCACGTCCATTACATTTAACTGTGAGGACGTTATAATATCTACAACAGGGTCCTTCAACTCTTAATATGTTACTGTTTTTTTTCATGCTTTAATTGCTAACACATTTTGAAAACCTTGTAGTGTCCTTAAGGAAAATGAGAAGCACAGAAAGTCATACAATAGCAAGAAGACACATGGAAAAGAAACCAACTCTTACCATAATGTTGTAGAAAAAGAAAGAAAGAAAAAATTGCTCATTCCTTTAATGAAACTACCTATGAGAGCAGCACAGAGCAGAGCTGTTGCCACCATATGCAGCACTGTGTGCGGCACTGCCCCCCCGAAGAAGAATGCAGAAACACTGAAACACGTCTTCTAGGTATCGCATAAAATGACGATTACAACAATATCTGACAAGTGATGCTGTACAATATTTTTCTATGTAGCTGTTGACATGAATATATACTGTAAAACAAGAAAAGGAACATTTTTTCTTACCAACTCTCTGTGAGAGTTACGTTTTTATAATTTTTGTATGTATAGTTTGTTCTATGAGGATTTATAAAAGTGAACAATGTGCCGTATTAGTTTCTATATTTATCTTTATTTATATCATGTGCTTGTGCCACCTTTCAGACTTGAGCTACTGAACTAAACCATTGATCTGGTTGCAGTTGTTTAATAAAATGTGACGTTTGCAACAGCTTTTTTGGATGGGTGTGTTTTTCCTCCTCGTCTCATGTAGGAAGTAACGTCAGTGTGCTGGATGAGCACCAGCCTTCACTGCTGTTTTTCCAGCTGTCACACAACAGCCTTTTCGAGAGGATACAGATTTTTTTTAGACATTCTAGCTGAGAGATTCAAGGCGCTTCAGCCTTTCCTGCGATAATGAAAAAAGTCGAAAGTCCAATACCTTGTCCTCGTATTTCATCTCATACTCAGGTCTCTGCATGTCTGGCAGTGACGCTTCTATTACTTTTTGTTCTGCCTGGTTTCATGGTGTTATTCCACCTCTCCAGTTGCACAGCTCAGATCGTGCAGTAGTGTCTGGAAGCCATCTAACATCTGTAACTGGGAGACGGAGTCACGCCTTCATAGCATGGGCTGAAATGGTCTCAAGATGTGACTTTCATCACACACAATGCGCTCACAACAAAACTGAGAAAAAATCTGTCACATGACGGGGCAACATGAGATAGAGCCCAAAGCATGGCTGCACAGTTCCAAGTGTTAGTGCCAGCTGGTTTTAAAAACAAAGATGTTGTGCACCGATTATTACCAGTACTTCAACACAGCTTGCTGTTGTAAATGCAGAGGCAGGAAAGATGTTCCATTTATTAATACATTATACATGCAGATGCAGCTTATTTTAAAGCTGACACGCTTACCGTCATTGTGGAAACAAAAACTGTTTTGATGAGATACAAAAAACTATGATGGATCGAGTTCAGAGTTTTAAATAAAATCACAAAAAAAATCAACACCTCCTTGCAGGGATCTTGAGAGGTTGAAAGCACTTTACAATAAGAATTACAAGCATGCACAGCATTGGAGTTTATGTGATTTGAAGGAAAAAAAATTCAACTTTGCAAATCAAAGATGCGTTATTTGAAAAGTTTGCTTGAATGCTGATCTTAATTGGATTGCATTTCTGCTCCTAAGCTTGTGCCGCTGCAAAGAAAGTCAATAAGAAAAGCTTCCTCCTTCTTTTCCTAAGCTCTTCTCCTTTATCCTATTGGGAAACATCACAAGGTTCAGGGAAAACGGTGGGATAAAATTAGGACTTAGGAAAAGATGAGCGTCCTGCAGTGTGAATCCACCCACTCAGAGCTGTGATGTGGGTCTGCCTCACTGAAAGATGTTCAGTAAATATTTACTGAATAGGCCACGATTATACAAATATAAAAGACAGGCTCTTATATAAAACATTAGTTGATGACTGAACTCTCAATTTTGAAGAGAAAAAAAGGCACAAGACTGAATAATGTTGTTGTCTCAATCCTTCTTCTTGTCATCATGTTCATCCGCATGAATCACGCTAAAAAAGTGAATGGTCGAGCGTCCCTTTGAAAGCTTCGGCTTCAATGAATGGTGGGACGGAATCAATTATTTTTCTTTCATAGAAGATGCTCATTAAGGGGACATAATAAAGGAAACAAAGAATCTCCTTTTATACCCAGAGAACTTGATAAAAAAAGAAGGCAATTAAACTGGACCTCGCCTTCTTTAAGGCCAGCTTTTGTGAAAGACTCAGTACACTTTGATTACTCAGCTTTTTGGTCCAGAACAGCAAAGCACATGCTCATTCTTTGAGGCCTGCCAAAATAACTGGTTTGCCAGAATTATGCGCTTTTGTTAGTTTATGTGGCCACGTGGTTTTGAAACAGTAGACAAACTCAAACCACAAATGAGCCATCAGAGGGGCGTTCAGAGGCCGGGTTCTGCGGTAGAGAACAACTCTCCACAAAAAGCAGAAACACACAGACGGAAAGGAGAGTAATTGCTTAAAAGCAGACAAACTGTGCTTTAAAAGGTTCAAGTAGGAAACATTACAATGCTTTGGTGTGAATTTAATGATGTTATAATTAGTCTCAAATACTCAACAACGAGGGATTTCAACATAAAATTCCACTCATGTTCTTCTTCCTTTTATTGGAAAGATTATTTAAAAAAAATCTTGTGTGTGAAAAGTATGGTTGAAGATTTATAAGGTTCTATTTTTTTCAGTCAAAGCAGAGACTCTAAACATGCTAAAACATTGCATATAATGGGTTGACACACAGCATACACAGACTGTTGAGTCATCTGCCCTCATTTGATGCGGATTTTGGTCCAAACGATTAGTGCTCATGATGAGCGAGTTCATGAAAGGGTTCCAAGTAGTCGACACACCTAGAGTATGCATCCTCGAAGTCTCTAAGGCGGAGGAATAAAGCGGAGGATGATTTGCTGGAACTCATTTTCCTCTCATTCCTCATCGTAGGCCAACGAGAAAGCAGCTGACTGCCCTGATCAATCTCTGATTATTACATGGGGGTGCTGCTGGTGGCTGGGTTGGGTTTTGTTCCATTGTCTACAGGTGAATTTCACAACAAGGGGATGTGTGCTGACAGGATGCTTCTCACTCAAGACGAGTCATGTGGACTCATAGTAAGTAGTCTGCTGACGCATTCCACCTCTGTGGTTAGGAGGTGAAACATAAATGGATGAATCACATCAGTTCATTCAGGAATCCAACAGACCTAAATTTGTGTTAATCTGCAAACAGTTACAGCAACCGAGTGACTAACAGCCATGAGTTTTTTTTGTGTAGTCTGTGCTTATTTTTGGTGTATTTTGTGTTTGGGAAGTTTTGGATATTACCTGTGGCGGTTGATGTGACCCTGATAAGTACAGATGGAAATGACTCACCGGATTACAGCTAAATGTAAAAATTGGTCACCAGGAATCCTAAAATGATTTTCGCAGAAAGGTAATAATCATTAAGCGCGGCTTCCAAAAATAGCAACCCAATAACTCGAGCTGCCCTCAGAACAGTCACTGCTGGTCACACCGAACACTGGGGTGGGAGGCATGTCTGCATCGGGGGCCAGGAAGGCTCATTAACTCCAACGAGAGGGCCAAAGGGTCAGGTTTTGAAGCAACATGGGACCAAACTGAGTATGACCAATAACCGGCACTCAAATACTGCAGGAAGATCAGCCAAAAGAACCGCAAAATCAGGGGAGGAAGTCCATCTGCGTCACTCGCCATTGCATAAAAGTGTTAAAGAGAACATCATGTCGACATACACCCTGTTTTGAAGCACTTGACCATTTTCTTCTTGCACGTAATCTATTAAATAAAAGGGCATATACAGAATTCCTTTAAAAAATGGCCCTGATTTAAAAATACTTAGACAGTGATGAACGATGACAACCACAAGACCCTCATCACAAACCGTTTTTACCGTAATAAACCCAGATATTCAGACTATTGAATGGTATTTTATTAAAGGGGAGTAATATCCCTTTAATACATCATGCACGGTCATTGTCTAGCACAGGAATGACCTCAGAACATCCATTGAAATCACGAATCATTGAGTAGGTAGTTTTCAGTCTTGGCCATTATGTGTAATAACAGGACAGTAAAGAAGCCGCTTTCTTTATCAGTTCGATCAGTTATTTTGAGTCACTTGCTGTGGTGCTGCTCTCCCGGCAGATGGACACAAATCAGACTGTGCTCTCCCACAGACTAACAGAAGACAGGCAACATCTGCTGATGACACGAAAAGGCTTGAGCTCACTCGAGGAGTACAGCCTGCTCCATTCTGATTGAAGACATTTCCAGTTGGATATTTTACATCTCAGAAAGATGACAGTCCCATTTGTCTCATTTGTAATTTGCTCCATCTCACACTCGTATGACCTTACTCATATTTCGAGGGCCTCTGTGGTGTTAATGGATTTCTGACAGGAAAGCAAATAGGCAAGGGGGGGGAAATAAGTCTTTATTTAAACCAAGTAGCTTTTTCCAGTTATTTCCTCTTGATAAAAAACTATCATCTCTGCTTTGTATCATGTCAAACATAGAAAGACTGATTATTTAATTGCTTGTCTGGATATTTTTATGGCTCCACTCTCAGAGAGAGCCTTGTTTCTGTGGCACTTTAAGGATATCCTACAGAGGCACTAACTGTTGGTACGTATCATAGTAATATTTCACTCATAACATCCCACTGGTAGATATCAAAAAGTGTCATCTGTTTTCAGACTATTAAATGATTTTTTTTTGCTCAAGCAGCAGAACCGATAATGGCTGCTTCCTCTGCCTGCCAGGTTCAGCTTTTATAGGACATTAAATGTCTAAAGTAGGTCAGACATCCATCAGTGGCCATTATTGCAACTACAGTGTGGAGCCAGAACATGTGATGGCGTCTGTAATAAAACACAGGTCTCCATCTCTTTATTTGTGAGCAGTATAGAAAAATA